CTCCACCCAGCCTGTCCTTGTGCATTTTGTGCATCCTGGCACAGTGTCCTCCAGGCACTTGGCTGCTGCCGGCCTGGGCGCAGAGCCGTGCTCGCAGCCCTATTCCGTGTTTCTCTGCAGATTGTTCCGTTGGTCGCCAAGCTGGTGGGCAGCAGCCCGCGCTACCACAGGGCCGAGGTGAGTAGTGAGTAGTGAGGCTGTCGGTGCTCGCGCAGGATGAGGCCACTTGCACGTGCGCCAGAAGCGCCAGCGAAGGCCGGGCTGTTCCGCTGCTGTGGCTGTCTGTCACTCCTGCGGTGGGTGGCCAATAACCAGACGCTCCCTGCCCGTGTCTCCTCGCTTCCAGAGCACCGAGTACAGCATCCTGGTGATTGGTGTGCCCAATGTGGGCAAGTCATCTCTCATCAACTCCCTGCGGAGGCTGCACCTCAAAAAGGGTATTTCTGCGGGGCGTCTGGGCTTGGGGAGGAGCTGCTGGTGCAGCCGAGGGGCAGAGAGTCGCTTGCTTCTCTGACTGCCTCTCCTTTCCCTGAAGGGAAAGCCACCGCAGTGGGTGGCGAGCCAGGCATCACCAAGGCGGTGCTGACCAGAATCCAGGTACCGTCCCCACGGCTGGCTGGGTGGGTGCTGGCCTCTGCCTCCCTGCATCCCCTTGCAGGAGCTCCGCAAAACCTCAAGGCATGCAGAGCGGATCTCAGAGGGTTGCTCGGGTCCCCTTTCCGGCAAGACCTTTACGAAAGAGCTCAATGCCTTGCTCGTTAGCCGTGTCAGAGTCTGCGATGCTAATTATCAAGCCATGCGCCCTCACTGCCCTGCCTCCCCCCATCCCAGGTCTCCGAGAATCCCTTGATGTACCTGGTGGACACGCCTGGCGTGCTGCCCCCCAAGCTGGGGGACGTGGAGACGGGCATGAAGCTGGCGCTGTGTGGTGAGGGGGGGGCTGCGGCCAGGGGGGCTCCCCGAGTGGGGCTCTCAGCTGGGGCTGGGCCTGGTACCTCACCCAGGTACCTGCTGCTCACAGCCCCATGCACAGGCTGGCGTGCTCAGCCTGGATGCCCACGGGTGGCGGGTGGATGGGGCTCATGGGGCTTGACCCTCTTTTCCAGGAGCCATCCGTGACCACCTGGTGGGGGAGGATATCATGGCCGACTACCTCCTGTACACCCTCAATAAGCAGCAGCACTTCGGGTGAGCCGGTGGGGGAACTGGACAGGCGGTGCACAAGCCATCCCTGGGGAATTGGGGTGAGGGAGGAAGCAGCGCAAGCAAGGTGTGAGCCACCTCCTTCGGCAGGGAAGTGCAGCGCTACGGGCGGGGCGA